GCAGACCTTCTCAAAGGCCAGCAGGAATTCATCTATGTCCTCCCCTTCCTTAAACTGGGACAGGATGCGCTTATCAAAGTTCCATGTAGTCCTGGGTACCCACTCACTCACTGCAGCAGGGGGCTCTCTGCTCCTCAACTTTGCCAACTCCAGTTCATGCTGCCGCTGTTTCTCCCAATCCTCCAGCTCTTTCAGTTTTAGAATCATAGAATATCAGAGTTGGAAGGGACCCCAGGAGGTCATCTAGTCCAACCCCCTGCTCACAGCAGGACCAATCCCCAGACAGATTTTTACCCCAGTTCCCTAAATGGCCCCCTCAAGAATTGAACTCACAACACTGGGTTTAGCAGGCCAATGCTCAGACCACTGAGCTATCCTTCATATTTCTCATAGAATATCAGGGTTGGAAGGGACCTCAGGAGGTCATTTAGTCCAACCCCCAGCTCAAAGCAGGACCAATCCCCAGACAGATTTTTACCCTAGTTCCCTAAATGGCTCCCTCAAGGTTTTATCTACTTCTCCCATTCCAGCTGCCTCAGTTCCAGCGACAGGGGAGCTTGGCCGTGAGGATCCCCTGCTGGCTGCGGGGGTCACGGTGTTCGCCTGGCTGCTTCTAGCCACTCCCCTAGCCATAAGTAGGAGGGGCCTTGGAGTGCCTTCGGCAGCAGTCTGACCACTCCCAGCTGGGACAGACACCGGTGCCGGCACTGCATCTGCTGGGCTGCTTCCCTCAGCGATCCTCCTCCTCCATCTGTGCTTTGGTGGCCTTCTCTCTGCGAAGCCCTCTCTCCTTGCACAGCTCTACAAGGTCCCTCTTAAGGAGATGGTTATACATCTCTCCGCTGTTCCCAAGTTGTTGTGGACTCTCAGGCCTGTGTGCTCTCAGCTCCCCTTGGTTTCCAGGAAGAACCTCTACTGTGCCAGCCCTTCTCCAGGTCACCACCTCTCTCCCAGGGTCAAGCCGCAGACTCCTCCACCCCTGAAACCGCTTACTGCAGTCCCCAGGGGGACCCCGTTACTGCAACAGTCCTTCTCGCTGGTCACACACTCCCAGGGGTTAAGTGTAACTCCTCCGCCTCCTGAAACCGCTCCTCTCTGAGCCTTCAGCACGCCTGGTTCTTGTTAATCCCCCTTCATTTTACTGCTCCCCAGTCACTTACTGCAGGAAGTGTCATCCACGGGGTGCAGTACATCCCACCACTACCACCAGTTGTCACAGAGTCTGAGGGAGTCAGGGCCCTACACCCCCCACTTCCTGCAATTCACTGTGATTCTCAGCCAGCCAGTAAAACAGAAGGTTTATTAGACGACAGGAACACAGTCTAAAATAGAGCTTGTAGGTACAGAAAACAGGACCCCTCAGTGAGATCCCTCTTAGCGGGTGGAGAGCCCAGACCCAGGTTCTGGGCCTCCCCCCGTGTCCCCCCCCCAGCTCCAAACCGAAACCCCTTCCTGCTGCCTCACCCAGCCACACCCCTGCCCCCCCCTCCAGCCTTTGTCCATTTTCCCAGACAGAAGGTGTAACCTGGCCCCAACCCCTTCCTGGGCTCAGGTTACGAAGGGCAGCCGCCATCGCTTACATGCTGGCCATCAAGTATCATCCCTCAGTGAAGTCACACCCTTATTTCCAATCACCATCTAGTATTGGTGCAGTACCCCAGGGAAATGGAGGCACGCCCCGTATTAGCAGAAGACAGTAAACTAGTAAAACTCCCATGCAACATTACCAGGTTAATACTCCCTACTCCATCACAGCTTCCCTGTCAGAAAGTCATTTTTCTGCAGGGAAGCAAAGAAATCTGCGGGGGACATAAATTCTGTGCATGCGCAGTGGTGCAGAATTCCCGCAGGAGTATCTTCTAGGGGAATCACCTAGTTCCTGCTCAGGTGTGTCTACTTGGTAACTAAGGATGGCTGGTCCCAGGTCTCTAGCTCTTAAAGGGGCATGTCACCCTGTTCCAGGCCCCTTGTTGCTCCCTGCATGTATCAGACTCAGAGCTCCTGGCTTCCATGACAGGAAAGCGTGGCCATCTGTTGGTTCCTGCTAGCCCTGCGGAGCTAACTCAGCTAAGTGAGAGGGAGCTGGAGTCTATTCCATCCTGTGCAATGTCAGCAGAACTGTCCAGCAGTCAGTGACCTCTGCACATCTCCCTGGAAGCCCAGAGGCTGCCCCAGTGTTGCTGGCATCACTGGCTGCAGAATAATAACGGGAAGGAACGTTTCCCTTGTAGGTCTCTGGTTTGGATGCAGCCCAGGTAGTGGTGGTGGAGATTGGAACTCATCAGCATCTGATGGCAGGCAGGTGGCTTGTGTGCAATGAGTTGGTGGGTCTCAGCCCAGTTTGCAGCAGGCAGATAGCCACATAAAACAAATTGCCACCCCAGCTGGTGCTATTCACTCCAATAGTGGCAGCTCAGTTGAGAAGCCATGGACTGCATGGATCACATGGACTGATCCCAGGAGTTCAGTCCCTCTGGTTGAGGGGCCAGGAACAACTCAGGGGCTGATTTTTCCTGCTGCTCCTGTACCTCACCGGCGCTGTGCTCCAGCCCGCAGTGCTGCCGTGCTGGCATCATTCACCAGCAGCCAGGGCCGGCTCCAGGGTTTTGGCCGCCCCAAGCAGCCAAAAAAAAAAAAAAAAGCCGCGATCGCGATCTGCGGCGGCAATTCAACGGAAGGGCCTTTGCTCTGAGCCGGAGTGAGAGACCGTCCGCCGAATTGCCGCCGAATAGTTGGACGTGCTGCCCCTCTCCGGAGTGGCCGCCCCAAGCACCTGCTTGACAAGCTGGTGCCTGGAGCCGGGCCTGCCAGCAGGAACTCCCTGGGGCAAGCTGAACGATGGGTAATAACAGAATGGGCCTGGCCACGAGCATAACCTCCCCGTTCTGTTGCAGCTCGATGTTTCGACCTTCAGAAATCCGAGGCCATGGTCCGGAAGGTAAGAGAGCCTCCCAGCCCCTGTCCCTGGGGTTTCTACATCCCAAAGGGGGGTGGAGGGGAGAGAACAAAAGTAGTCCCCAAGCCCTGTGCCCCTGCACTCCCCGCCGCTCTGCACACACATGCTGATTCCAACAGGATCCAAGCCCATGATCCCATGTGTGCAGCCTTTCATAAACCTGTCCAGGCCCCCTAGCTACACGGCAGGCACTCCCAGCCTCTGGTTCCACAGAGTCCAGCTCACACCAGAAGCCTTTGAAGTATTTATTTAATTGATTGCTCTTATCTTGTTTTTCATACAAGATATACATTCCTTCCCCCTCTTCCTCACTTCCTGCTGCCCCACCCCCTCGCCCCAGTACACCCCTTCTTGTCTTGTTCTCACAGAGTCACAGGGGGTTTAAGGCCAGAAGGGACCACCTGCTATTCCAGCCCTGAGTCTCCAGCACAGTGCAGAGGGTGCACTTCAACCCAGCCTGCTGCTCCAGCCTTCTGCTCCAGCCTTACCCTCCACACACACCCAGCTCTACTGATGCCCCACAGTCCTGATGTGCAGCCCCCTGCCCCCGCCTCCATTCCAGTCCTGAGTCCCTTTTGGACAGAAGCTGTCAGTTACATGCAGGATCTTTCCTGACGCTGCAGCCGTGTAATCCATACCTCGCTCCTCGCCTTGCTGAGTTTTGTTCCACAATGTCAGTGTTCATCGGAGGAGGGTGGAAGACATACACAGATTCCTGTATTTCCTGTCCCTGCTTGAAAGTGACCCAGACGTAGGGTGACCAGACAGCAAATGTTAAAAATCGGGACGGGGGTGGGGGGTAACAGGAGCCTATATAAGAAAAAGACCCAAAAATCGGGACTGTCCCTATAAAATCAGGACATCTGGTCACCCTATCCAGACTGTTTCCCCCCACTCTCAACAGCTCCCCTCTGGTTTGTTTTAACAGTATGTTGAGTTTCGGAAGCACATGGATGCTGACAACATCATCAACTGGCGCCCCCCGGAGGTGAGTTCCCATTTGCCCTCTCCCTCCTGTCCTCGGGGATGGATTTCCACACCTGTTCTGGGTGCGGCCTGCGAACAGCTGTGCTTAGTGGAGGGACTCTAAGGCCTGTATCTCTTCTGTGCAGGTGATTCAGAAGTACATGTCTGGGGGGATGTGTGGGTATGACCGGGATGGCTGCCCCATCTGGTACGAGATCATTGGGCCCCTCGATGCCAAAGGCATCCTCTTATCAGCCTCCAAACAAGATCTGCTCAAAAACAAGTACCGTGACTGCGAGATGCTGCTGCAGGAGTGTGACAAGCAGACCCAGAAGGTGAGACCTCACTGCCTCCATGAGTCATTGTCATCTGGGCCTGGGGAGCCCAGGGCAGGGAAGGAGCCTGTAGCAGCGGCCAGGGACTTTCTGTCTTGAGGTTTAGAGTCCTAAGCCGGAGCAGGGCATAGGAGAAACCAGCATTCAGACTTGGCTAGGATCCTAGTAACTGAAATGCATTACAGGCTCTCTGTACCAAGACCACTTTGCCCACCACTGAAATGCAGCCACCTCTGGGATGGAAGAGAGCAGCTCTTTAACAGCACACAGCAACACTGCAGAACATCTCAGAGCAGGTAGTGAAGAAGAAAACTGTGTCCAGTTGAAACAGTGGGTGGAATTCAGGGAGGCAGAATGTACATTACCTGCCTGTGTTAGAATATGCTCAGGACTTTGGGTGTTAATAGCCCAGCACTGTTGGAACAGCTTTGGAATTTTAGATGGCCGCCTGAAGGATAGGATCTCCTGCAGTGCCCCGTCACCACGCTGGAGCATTGGGGCCTGTGCTGGGACAGGAGAGCATCCCCTACTGAGCCACATACACCACTCTTCCAGGATGACAGCCCAAGGGGTCATGCAGGAAGGCACTATGCCCCAGGGCCCAAGCAGGAAGCGAATAGGAGAAAACCCATCACATAGTAAAACAGAGTTTTGATTGAAGATGGCTGTGTTTCCCTGGGACGTTACCCTGCAGATGGTTGGAATGGTGTCTGTCTGAATCCTCTTGCTCTGTTCTCTTGCAGCTGGGGAAGAGGGTTGAGATGGTCATGATGATCTATGACTGCGAGGGGTTGGGCCTGAAGCATCTCTGGAAGCCAGCCGTGGAGGCGTATGGAGAGGTGAGGAGGTAGGGGTCGGGGGAGGGGGTCTCTGTTTACATGTTGCTTATTCTCCATCCTGCAGAATGGTCTGGTGCATGGGTTTCCTCAGATCATATGTTTTCCCCACAAGTCCACTTCATGGTGATTTAAGGATTAGTCCTCAGGTCTATGAAGGAGGCAAATAGATCTTCCTCTGTTTGTTTGTTAACGAGTGTCTACAGGCTAAAATATGTCGTTGGTGGTTCCTTTCCCGGGAAGGAATCCAACTGGACTTTCATGGATTACACTGGCGTTGGCCAGACCCAGTATTGTTCTTATTGAGGATGTGACAGGATCACAGATACCTCAGTAGATGTTTGCGCTGAGGGCCTCGCTTTTGGTTATCGGGTTAACTAGCCCAGCTGACAAAGGACATGGCTGCACTGCAGTCAGGAGGTGGGATTGCAGCATGTGCAGACGTAGCTTTGATTTAGCTCGAGTAGCAATAAGTGAAGCTGACAGCTGCTCCAGTATGTACCCGGGGACCTGGGCAAACTAGCTTTGATCTACCTAGATCAAAGCTAGCTTGGGTATGCTATATATGCTGCAATTACATCTCCTGATTGCAGTGTGCACACACCTACATCTTGGATAAGTGTCTGAATTGGAAGGTTGGGCTAGATAGTTTTAGAAAGGCTTCCTGGATGCGTTCAGTGGAGTGTTTGATGTCTTACCTTGGCTCTCCGATCTTCTAGATTTGAGGTGCTGAAGGCTGACTTTGGTTGCTTCTCTTGTTCCTACAAAATCCATGGAGTTTGGGTAGTTTTCCAATGTTGCCAACTCTTAGAGTTTTATTGTGTGTCTTGTAGTCTTTGGTGTTTTTTCTTAAAGCCCCAGTTCCTGGAGTCATGGGAATATGTGAGAATCTCAGCTCTCATTTACCAAAATAATAGTTTCTGGCCCTTATGGCAGTGGAAAAAACCTCAAAAACGTGATCCCTAAAGGCTCAAAGAAACCCAGAAAGCAAATATAAATAATTCCAAGTTATTTTTTAAAATCTCATGAATTTCAAGCCAATCTCATGATTTTGGGAGATCTCACTCATGACTTGTTGACTATTTGGGGTTGGCCATGCTGATGGTGCCTTCCAGCGTAGCTGGTTTGGAATGATTCTGTTTTATCCTTCAATACTGGCCAACCCCCAACCATTTGAAAAATCATGTCAGGGCCCCAAAAATCATGAGATTGCTGTAGAAATCATGAGATATGCCTTCCCCTATGGTTGTGGGGTTCTAATAAGCATGGAAAGGCTTTAACAGTGTTATTCTTTCGGGGTCAAATTCCACCCCATGCAGAGGGCTATTGCTCAGGGCCTGGGCACTGCATGAGTCTCGCTTCAGCCCTACGGGTGCTATAGCCCTCTGCACAGGGGTGAATTTTCTCCTCTCTGCAGATGTCATAGGGTGACCCCACCTAGGGCACCTTTCACGGGCAGGCTGCGACACAACAGGCATGCCTAGCCTCAGTTTCCCTTTTAGTCTAGCCCTGAAAGGATTATCATCTCTCAGTGTGCACTACCAAGCCCAACTTTGAGTATAGCTTGCTCACGTACACCAGTGCAGTAGTTCCCCTAAAGCAATTCTCCAATGTGCACAGTAAATATAAAGGTACCGTGGTTTCTCCATTCCCCACTCCAGGGGAATCACCTCCACCCACCCACTCCATAGCAGCACATTGTTCCCAGTTCCTTTCACCCCTGATGCAAGTCCCCACTCTCCAGGCCATCCCCTTGAGAGTGGCCAGTCTCCACAGCCCCCATCAGGTGTCCTCAAGAGAGCTCCCCAGTGTCCCACTCCCCAGGCCTCCCTGCCAGGGGGATCCACCCTCCCACACCAACCCTCTTGAGTCCAGGCTCAACTTCCCCAGATAAGCTGGATCTTCCCCATTTGCCAAGGAGCCACTGCTTGAGCCTTAAACTCCTCAGGGGTCCCGAGCTTTGGTCAGTTCTCACTAGCAGTGCTGTTCCACACAGCTCTCTCTACTTGCTGCATCCCCACCAGCTGGCCGATTCTCCCAGTCTCCTCCCCTCTAGGGCCCAGGTGCCCTCTCTTAAGCCCAGCTGGGGATGGGGAGGGGTCAATTGGCCAGTCACAGGTGCACTGGCCTCTTTTCTCCCCCTGTTCCCCCATGACAGCAGAGCTAGTGAGTGTATGTTTTAATGCCCTTTTGTGGATCTGAATTTGGGGGCTCCCTGACAGCCTGTCCTAGACTGATCCCTCTTTCCTGAGGAACTTGGATTTGAATTGCTTGCCAGTCCTTTTTTTGTATTTATGACTGGCCTTTGCTCTTTGATTTCTGTTCCTCTCTGTTTCTGGCGGGGGGGGGGGGGGGGGGATTCAGATGGGGGGACGAGAGGGTCACTGGGGTTTAAAGCAACCAGAACACCTCTCCTTTGGTGCAGAAGCCTGGAGGGGGAGGAAGAGACAGGGAAGGGCTGTCTCCTGTCTGAAATCATTGCAAGCTTTGTGCAGGTGTCTGATCTGGCTCTGGGGAGGGATGTGGATCTGGTTCCGTCTCCTCCCGCACAGCTATTTGCTACTACAGCCCAGGGCTGGCTGGTGGGGGCTGAGGCAAGGTCCCAGACATGAGATACGGGGTTGGCTGGGGGCAGGGAGGGCTTGGGATAGGTTTCTGTCTCCCTGACTGACAAGCTCCTTTGGATTCACAGCTTCTGTCCATGTTTGAGGAGAACTATCCCGAGACCCTGAAGCGCCTGTTTGTAATTAAAGGTGGGTTTAACTGCAAGGCAGGACAAGGCTTGTATGCTTCCCCTCCCCGCCCAACTGTGTGAGCTGGGACAGCAGACTTGCATTTGGAGGAGATGCTGCATGCACGTCTCTGCCCCCTGGGGACAGAAACACGGAACACCCAGTCTGGAGGGTGCTCTGTGCAGACCCTCCACCTTTGCCACCTGGGGTACAGTGCTAGTATCCAGCTGGGGAAGCATGGTTGTTTGTGCCATGGCCCAGTAGGAGACACCACAGTCAGCCCAGGAGATGCACAATGTTGTTGGCCATGTTGTATGTTGTTCTCCCATCTCTATCACATTGGCACAGCACTGGCGCTGCATGGCAGGGATCGGTGAGAGACATGAGGAAGGCATTGCAGATCCCTGGCAGGGGGTGGCGCAGGAGGTGGAAGGCCAGGGTGAGAGGATGGTATGAAGGATTTCTTGCCCATGATGCTATGTTCTCTCTGTACCATCCTTGCAGCTCCCAAGCTCTTCCCTGTGGCCTACAACCTCATCAAGCACTTCCTGAGCGAAGACACCCGTAAGAAGATTGTCGTTCTGGGAGGTGAGTTTGACCCTGCCCTCTATCCCTGCCTTGCACCTCCTCTCCCAGCCTAGCCCATGGGCCCCCAATGACCAGGCCCCCAGTCCCAGAGCCCCTTTTCTAAGGGGAAGTTGCTGCCCAGCATGAGTCTAACCCCCTCTGCTCAGTGCAGGGACATCACCAGACTGCTGCTTCCTGTTGGCTAGTTGATGCCCCAGTCCCACCATTCACAGAGAGTTGTTACATTTGGGCATGGAGGGTCTCGTGATGATCACAGTGCTGGGCAGGATAAATGAACCCATTCAAAGCGTCTTCGTACATCTCACTGGCTCAGCGGGGCTGGGTCTGATCAGCAGCTGGATGGGAGACCTCCCAGGAAGACTGAGGCGGGTGTGAGTGATGCGGTGGCAGTGCTGCTGCCAATGCCCCTGCGTGGCACTAGGGGGCAGCGCGCTACTGGAAGGGCCATATTTCAGATGAAATGTAAAACCGAGCTGGGGTGTTTAATTGCCTGTGAGTCTCTTTGTAAATCGATCCACCCTCCTGGCCAAGTTTCAGTTTTCAGGGCTACACCTTGTCTCCCTAAATCTCCCCCACCCCCCTTCACTGCCTGTCCTACAGGACTGCCTAGTGGTGCTATGAATGATTGTAAACAGCTGTCACCTGTGGTCCTCCCCAAAGGCTGGTGCAGTGATGTACATAGTCTGTAAAGCCCTTGGAATTAGAGCTGTCAAGCGATTAAAAAAATTAATCACGATTAATCATGCTTTTAAATGATAATAGAATACCATTTATTTAAATATTTTTGGATGTTTTCCACATTTTCAAATATATTGATTTCAGTTACAACACAGAATACAAAGTGTACACTGCTCACTTTATATTTATTTTTATTACAAATATTTGCACTGTAAAAAACAAAAGAAATAGTATTTTTCAATTCACCTAATATAAGCACTGTAGTGCAATCTCTTTATCATGAAAGTTGAACTTACAAATGTAGAATTATGTACAAAAAATAACTGCATTCAAAAGCAAAACAATGTAAAACTTTAGAGCCTACAAGTCCAATCAGTCCTACTTCTTGTTCAGCCAATCGCTCAGACAAACAAGTTTGTTTACATTTGCAGGAGATAATGCTGCCCGCTTCTTGTTTACAATGTCACCTGAAAGTGAGAACAGGCGTTCGCATGGCACTTTTGTAGCCGGCATCACAAGATATTTACGTGCCAGATGCGATAAAGATGCATATTCCCTTCATGCTTCAACCACCACATGCGTCCATGCTGATGACGGGTTCTGCTCGATAATGATCCAAAGTAGTGCAGACTGACACATGTTCATTTTCATCATCTGAGTCAGATGCCACAAGCAGAAGGTTGATTTTCTTTTTTGGTGGTTTGGGTTCTGTATTTTCCGCATCGGAGTGTTGCTCTTTTAAGACTTCTGAAAGCATGCTCCACACCTTGTCCCGCTCAGATTTTGGAAGGCACTTCAGATTCTTAAACCTTGGATTGTGTGCTGTAGCTATCTTTAGAAATCTCACATTGGTCCCTTCTTTGTGTTTTGTCAAATCTGCAGCAAAAGTGTTCTTAAAATGAACAACATGTGCTGGGTCATCATCTGAGACTGCTATAGCATGAAATATATGGCAGAATGCGGGTAAAACACAGAGCAGGAGACATACAATTCTCCCCCAAGGAGTTCAGTCACAAATGTACTTAACACATTATTTTTTTAATGGGCGTCATCAGCATGGAAGCATGTCCTCTGGAATGGTGGCCGAAGCATGAAGGGGCATACGAATGTTTAGCATATCTGGCACGTAAATACCTTGCAACACCAGCTACAAAAGTGCCATGCAAATGCCTGTTCTCACTTTCAGGTGACATTGTAAATAAGAAGCGGGCAGCATTCTCTCTCGTAAATGGAAACAAACTTGTTTGTCTTAGGGCTGGTCTACACTTGGGGGGGTTCAATGTAAGATACGCAAACTTCAGCTACGCGAATAGCGTAGCTGAAGTCGAAGTATCCTATTCGACTTACCCCGCTGTGAGGACGGCGGCAAATCGACCGCCGCGGCTCCCCCATCGACGCCGCTTACTGCTCCTGACGAGGTGGAGTACGCGCGTCGATTCAGGGATCGATTTATCGCGTCTAGATGAGACGCGATAAATCGATCCCCGAGAGATCGATTTCTACCCGCCGATCCGGGCGGGTAGTGAAGACGTGCCCTTAGCAATTGGCTTCACAAGAAGTAGGACTGAGTGGACTTGTAGGCTCTAAAGTTTTACATTGGTTTTTTTTGAGTGCAGTTATGTAACAAAAAAAATCTACATTTGTAAATTGCACTTTCACAATAAAGAGATTGCACTACAGTACTTGTCTGAGGTGAATACTATTTCTTTTATCATTTTTACAGTGCAAATATTTGTAATAAAAAAATAATATAAAGTGAGCACTGTACACTTCGAATTCTGTGTTGTAATTGAAATCAATATATTTGAAAATGTAGAAAAACATCCAAAATATTTAATAAATTTCAATTGGTATTCTATTTAACAGTGCGATTAAAACTGCAATTAATCGCAATTATTTTTTTAATCCCCATTCACTTTTTTGCATTAATCGCATGAGTTAACTGCGATTAATTGACAGCCCTACTTGGAACCCTTGTGTTAAAAGGATAAAGAAATGTCAGATCATTAATCCATTGCTATTAAAGGGAAACAGTCAGGTGAGCCAGGAACACCCAATATTGTGACCTGTGTATTTCCTTCTCCACTTCTTGGCTTTCTTCTTGAAACAAAACCCAGTGTGACAGCTCCCCCTGCTGGCTCTGTGCTGCCACTGGGCTAACAAACCCTGTTCCCAGGCTGGCAGTGCTCACGCCACTGGTGATGCCATGGAAGCAAAAAGCCATCATTCAGTTGAGCCCCATGTGCATCAGTGGAGGGAAGGAGGTGGCAACCCAAACTCAGCGCATTTCACGGTGTGACACTGGCTTGAGAGCCACGGGGAGTGGAGTCCACAGCTGTGGCCAATGCACCTCGAGCTTCACTCTTATTATTTAATAATAACCAGCAGGGTCCCGGCCCAGAGCTTACAGACTGAACAGACAAGCCAAACCCAAGGGGGGCGTTCTCAGCCCTATTTCATGGTGGGGGGGGGAGGGGTGCACTGAGAGCCAGAGAAACTCAGTGACTTGCCCAAGAGTTGGGAATTGAAGCCAGCTCTCCTGAGTCCCACTCTAGCGCCTTCCCCCCAAGAGCTCACTGTCTCTCTCCTCCGAGCTGAGGGCGTAGCCCCTCCAGTGGGAGCCAGGTGGTCACTCTACATGGCCCATTCAGTCATTGGCCTGTCTGCTAAGGCTGCCCCCGGGGAGCCAGTGAGGAGATGGGTGCTGTTCTCTAAACTGGCAGGCTGGGTTAGGCAGGGGTCCAGGCAGTCGCAGAGGGCCAGAGCCAGGTGCTGTTGGGATAACACCGTCCTATGCTAATAAGGCACCTTGGCCAGCGCCTCTGATCCCTCCCCATTGTCACAGGACTATACGCACGTCTGTGTCATGCGGGGCTGGGCTGACAGGCGCCAGCTCACTCCAGCCATTGGCCATGGGGATGGTGTTCGATCCCTGCTAGCCCAGGCTGGCTTTGGACCTCAGCTGTAATGTGATGACACGAGGCGGAGAGTGGAGCCAAATGTTCGGGCCTGGCCTATTCTGGAGCAGGGACAAGCTCGGCAGCCATCACTGTCCTGGCCTTTAGTGCTGTGTGTTCTGTGCACTGAGCACTGGAGATCGCTGCCAGGGACTCACCCTTTGGCTCCTAACCCATGTGCTCTGTGCTGAGCTCCCTGCACTTCTTAGCTCAGCTGGCCAGACATGGTCAAACTACAAGGCTGATGTTGGTTCCATTTCCCTTGGTTAACTCAGCTCCTTGGCAGGATCCCTGCGGAGCAGAGAGCGTTACTTGTCTCCACCCCTCCTCTCCTTGTCTTGGCTAAGGTGGGGGACGGCTAATGAGTGGGTCTGCTATGCGCCAAGCCAGTCTCCACCACGCCAGAAACTGCGCCACCCCAGCTCCATGGCATCACCACTCCCAGTGCTCGCATGCTGGGATGGAAAGACATAGGGAGGGACTGGAAGCGCTAACAGATCTTTTTCACCCCTCACCTCTCTGGTTCTGTTCCCCCACCCCAAGGAGCTCAGCGTGCTGTAGGTACCTGTGTTCCCTTCCGCCCTGTGACCCCGGAAGAGCAGAGGGTCCCCCTGCCCCCCACTTCAGCTCTCTAGCCAGAGGGCAGCTCCTGCAGATGTAACCTCGCTGCTCCTCTCTCTTCTGCCAGCAAACTGGAAGGAGGTCTTGCAGAAGTACATCGCCCCCGAGGAGATCCCTGTGGTGTATGGGGGAACCCTCCGGGACCCAGATGGGAACCCCAAGTGTGTGACCAAGGTACAGTGACCCCATCCTGAACACCAGCATCCCCCACTTCCATGCTGGGGTGTCAGCCACCGCTCTTCCAGTCTCAGCCCAGCTCTGCTAGTGCAGCCTCCAGCTGGGGAGCCCAGTGGGAGACATGGCAGGGGAGAGGCCTCTGGACTCCAATGCAGGAGTCCTCTCAGTCCTCTTGTGTCTGTGATCCCAGGGTAGGAGCGATGTCGGGGGGGGGGTGATGCCCTCGTGGCTCAGGGCCTGGTTCTGTCTCAATCCAGATTAACTACGGCGGTGACATCCCCAAGAAGTACTACGTGCGGGACCAGCTGAAGCAGCAGTATGAGCACTTAGTGGTAGTGAGCCGGGGCTCCTCCCACCAGGTGGAGTATGAGATCCTCTTCCCAGGCTGCGTCCTCAGGTAGGGAGAGCTGGTGCAGAGCTGTCCCCGGGGCTACCAGCAACACATGGGCCCCACCTGGGATGAGCAGATAACAGGGGCTGCGTGAGGGTGAATGGGGGGAGGGGGGCAGTGCCAAGACATGGGTCACCCCAGCCATTTGGGGGCAGGGGGTTACTGAGGCCACCTGGGCCAGCCCACCTACTCAGACGGAGGTGGGATAGGAAGGTACCTTGGGTCAGATGAGCTAACTAAGGTTAATGAGTTCTAGGTCATACCAACTACCCAGGCATGACACTGAAGTCAGGGTGAGCCCACTGAGTATGTGTGTGGGGGTAGTTACTGAGGCATGGGTTAGTCCCACTGTATTAGGGGAGGATGGATGGCAACGTCTGGGTCAGCTCCACAGGCTGCGGGGTGGTACCAAGGTCTAGGCCAGCCTCATTGTATTGTGGTGGGGTGGTTATGAGGGGAAGGGGTCATGGGAGCCCCCTGTGTCTAAGGCCTGCGTCCCGCCAGGTGGCAGTTCATGTCCGAAGGGGCCGACGTGGGCTTTGGAGTCTATCTGAAGACTAGAATCGGGGAGCGGCAGCGAGCTGGCGAGATGACGGAGGTGCTTCCAAACCAACGCTACAATGCCCACCTGGTGCCCGAGGATGGCTCCCTCACCTGTTCAGTGGCTGGCGTCTGTAAGTGGCTCCCTCTCCCTTGCCGCTGGGAACTTCCCCATCTGTTGGCTGCAGAGACCATGCTGAATCTGCTGGGGGGAGGAGTTGGGGCTTAAAGGGCACCATCTCTCTCAGCATTTATGGAAAGAAAATACAGAGAATTCCCCAGGTAATTGAGACGCTAATTTCATGGCCAGTCTCGGAGCTTCCCTCCAGCTGCAAGTTAATCTGCCAGCTGGAAATGCCTCCCTGAGCATGAGTTTCTGCCCTGTCAATACCCAGGGCCTGTTCTGGCCCAAGGCGTCACTGACACCACTTCATGTGGGCTGGGGAATGGCTGGATGACGTGGGAAAAATGAAGCTGGCTATTTAAGCCTGAATAACTCTAAAGGCCACATCAGCTTGCATCGCAGATACAGAATGCTTCGCTCATTAGTCTGCCTGATCTTACCCATGTAACAGAATCAGCCAGTTCAACCAGAAACCCAGTCAGGTGATAAGTAGCCTTTGCTGGGATTACTCTGTAAACTAGCACCTCAGCAGGATTTCCAGGAGGAGTTTTCTGGGCTCTCCCTGGGAACCGATTCTGCTGAATTAAATGCAAAGAAGGAGCCGTCAGACTCCTGCAAAGTTGTATCTAATCTCTTTATATAGAACTATTTCATACATGGCCATTTAAATAAGAACATAAGAACAGCCATACTGGGTCAGACCAAAGGTCCATCTAGCCAGGTATCCTGTCTTCCGACACTGGCCAATGCCAGGTGCCCCAGAGGGAATGAACAGAACAGGTAATCATCAAGTGATCCATCCCTTGTCACCCATTCCCAGCTTCTGGCAAACACAGGCTTGGGACACCATCTCTGCCTATCCTGGCTAATAACCATTGATGGACCTATCCTCCATGAATTTATCTAGTTATTTTTTGAACCCTGTTATGGTCTTGGCCTTCACAACATCCTCTGGCAAGGAGTTCAAGGAAATACTTCCTTTTATTTGTTTTAAACCTGCTCCCTATTAATTTCATTTGGTGACCACTAGTTCATGTGTTATGAGAAGGAATAAATAACAGTTCCTTATTTACTTTTTCCACACCAGTCATGATTTTATTTCCCCCCATGTCATCTCTTTTCCAAGCTGAAAAGTCCCAGTCTTATTAATCGCTCATCATACGGAAAACATTCCATACCCCTAATAATTTTTGTTGTCCTTTTCTGAACCTTTTCCAATTCCAATATCTCTTTTTTGAGATGGGGCAACTACATCAGCACGCAGTATTAAAGATGTGGGTGTACCATGGATTTATATAGAGCCAATCTGATATTTTTTGTCTTATTATCTATCCCTTTCTTAATGATTCCCAACATTCTGTTGGCTTTTTTGACTGCCGCTGCAGATTGAGTGGATGTTTTCAGAGAACTATCCACAGTGACTCCAAGATCTCTTTCTTGAGTGATAACAGCTAATTTAGATCTCGTCATTTTATATGTATAGTTGGGATTATGTTTTCCAATGTGCACTACTTTGCATTTATCAACACTGGATTTCATCTGCCATTTTGTTGCCCAGTCACCCAGTTTTGAGAGATCCTTTCGTAGCTCTTTGCAGTCTGCCTGGGACTTAACTATGTTGAGTAGTTTTGTATCATCTGCAAATTTTGCCACCTCACTGTTTACCCCTTTTTCCAGATCATTTATGAGTATGTTGAATAGGACTGGGCCCAGTACAGACCCCTGGGGGACACCACTATTTACCTTTCTCCATTCTGAAAACTGACCATTTATTCCTACCCTTTTTTCCTATCTTTTAACCAGTTACTGATCCATGCGAGGACCTTTCCTCTTATCCCATGACAGCTTACTTTGCTTAAGAGCCTTTGGTGAGGGACCTTGTCAAAGGCTTTCTGAAAATCTAAGTCACTATATCCCCTGGATCCCCCTTGTCCACAAGCTTGTCGACCCCCTCAAAGAATTCTTGTGGATTGGTGAGGCAATGATTTCCCTTTACAAAAAAACACATTGACTCTTCCACAACAAATTATGTTCATCTATGTGTCTGACTATTCTGTTCTTTACTATAGTTTCAATCAGTTTGCTCGGTACTGAAGTCAGGCTTACAGGCCTGTAATTGCCGGGATCACCTCTGGAACCCTTTTTAAAAATTGGCGTCACATTAACTATCCTTCAGTCACCTGGAACAGAAGCTGATTTAAATGATAGGTTACAAACTACAGTTAGTAGCTCTGCAAGTTCACATTTGAGTTCCTTCCGAACTCTTGGGTGAATACCGTCTGGTCCTGGTGACTTATTACTGTTTAGTTTATCAATTTGTTCCAAAACCTCCTCTAATGACACCTCAATCTGGGACAGTTCCTCAGATTTGTCACCTAAAAAGAATGGCTCAGGTTTGGGAATCTCCCTCACATCCTCAGCCATGAAGACCAATGCAAAGAATTCATTTAGTTTCTCCGCAATGGCCTTGTCGTCCTTGAGTGCTCCTTTAGCATCTTGATTGTCCAGTGGCCCCACTGGTTGTTTTGCAGGCTTCCTGCTTCTGACGTACTTAAATTTTATTTTGCTGTTACTTTTTGAGTCTTTGGCTAGCTGTTCTTCAAATTCTTCTTTGGCCTTCCTAATTGAATTTTTACACTTCATTTGCCAGTGTTTATGCTCCTTTCTATTTTCCTCACTAGGATTTAACTTCCACTTTTCAAAGGATGCCTTTTTGCCTCTCACTGCTTCTTTTGTTTAGTCACAGTGGCTCTTTTTTGGTTCTCTTACTAAGTTTTTTAATTTGGTGTATACATTTAAGTTGAGCCTCTATTGTGCTGTCTTTAAAAAGTTACCATGCAGCTTGCAGGGATTTCACTTTTGACGCTGTACCTTTTAACTTCTGTTTAACTAAACTCATTTTTGTGTAGTCCCCCTTCCTGAAAGTAAATGCTAGAGTGTTGTGCTGGTATGGTGTTTTCCCACCACAGGGATGTTAAATTCAATTATATTATGGTCACTATTACCAAGCAGTCCAGCTATATTCACCTCTTGGACCAGATCTTGTGCTCCACTTAGGACTAAATCAAGAATTGCCTGTCCTCTTGTGCGTTCCAGGACAAGCTGCTCCAAGAAGCAGTCATTTAAGGCGTCAAGAAACTTTATTTCTGCATCCCGTCCTGAGGTGACATGTACCCAGTCAGTATGGGGATAGTTGAAATCCCCCATTATTATTGAGTTTTTAACTTTTATAGCCTTTCTAATCTCCCTGAGCATTTCAGTCACTATCACCATCCTGCTCAGGTGGTCGGTAATATATCCCTACTGCTGTATTATTATTATTAGAACAAGGAATTACTATCCATGGAGATTCTGTGGTACAGTTTGGTTCATTTAAGATTTTTACTTCATTTGATTCTACGCTTTCTTTCACATATAATGCCACTCCCCCACCAGCACGACCTGTTCTGTCCTTCCGGTATATTTTGTACCCTGGTATTACTGTGTCCCATTGATTATCCTCATTCCACCAAGTTTCTGTGATGCCTATTTTATCAATATCCTTATTTAATATGAGGCACTCTGGTTCAGCCATCTTATTATTTAGACTTCTAGCATTTGTATATAAGCACTTTAAAAAGTGTCACTTTTTAGCTGTCTGCCATTACATGATGTAATTGAATGGGAATCTTTTAAATTTGACTGTTTCTCATCAGATCCTACCCATATTTTATCATCTTCCATCCTCTCCTCCTTACTAGGACATAGAGCATCTCCATTAATAGATCCTCCCCTAAGGGATGCCTCCAGCCGAACCATGTGCTCCTCCGCGCCTGTCAGCTTTCCCCCAGCCCTTAGTTTAAAAACTGCTCTATGAATATTTAATACCAATAGGGTGTTAATGCAACCTCCCTCTGGGGAGCTGATATCTCCCAGATCTGTATCCTCCAGCCACTAATGGGCAAAATAACTACACACATTCACAGGTCTGGTTCTGTCCATGGCAGTGCCCATGGATCTCTCCTTCGCACTGAGTGTGGAGTAACCTCTCTCCCCTCCTCCTGCAGATGTTCTGCGGTTTGACAACACCTACAGCTACCTCCATGCCAAGAAGGTCAGCTACACAGTGGAGGTTCTGCTGCCAGACAAGAAGTCGGAGGAGCAAATCCAGCAACTGGAAGAGACCATGAATGAGTTGGACCTCAACAATGCCCACCAGTGATGGCTCTTAGAGCCCCCTCATCGTCTGACCCCCACCACCAGCCCCACTCCCACCTCTCTCTGCACAAGCAAACCCAGGGCTTCTCCCAGACCCACCCAGCCATGGGGAAGTGAAAGTGGAACCATTCTCCAGAGAACCTCTGCTAGTTGCCATTAGAACGTTCAGGCAGCTTCTCTGGAGTGATCTTTCGGGCATTCCCTCACCCTGGGCTGGCCGTGGGGCATGGAGGGGGTGTTTGTAGGCAGGGGCATGGACTCTGCAGAGTGGAAGGTTTCCCATCTCTTCCTTGCAGCTGCCTAGAATGAACATAGCTGAGCTGGGGAGTCAGCGTCTGCATGGCCAGGGTCTGGGATCTAGCACTCTGTGCCCAGACATGCACCAGTTCAGGCTGCCAATCCAGCCAGCATCTGCCAGATTAATCTGTCCCTGATCTGAACTCCAGGCTTTAAGCACCTGGGGCTAGGGGGAGGGTCATGGGGTGTTCAGGAGGGAAACCCCTCGTATTATCGTTGGGTTTGCCTTCCACCTGGGCTGAGCTGAAAACAGGGTGGGAAAGGGGCACTTCTTGGCATGTCCCCTATAGCACAATGAGGTGCAACAGCTAAGAGCCCAAGTCTTGGGGTGGTAGCAGCTGGTGTTGGTGGCAGGGCCCTGGCTATCCAGGCCAGCACAGAGCTTTGCAGGAGGGCAAGGTGCCCCTTCTTTCCCACCCCTCCGAAAACCTCCCCAGCACTTGTCTGTGTAATTCACTGCCTTGCTCATTAACATTCACAACTAACAAAGGGCTGGAGCTTCCCTGAGGCCAGTGGATCCAGGATCCACAGTCCCAGGGGGCACCGCTACCCATAGCGCCGTAGTGAGGCTTGCACTGGGCTCCATGGCCCAGTGTGCCCTAGAGGGGCAGGGATCTGTAAAGACCAATCAGCTACAAGGGAGTGGGGCAACTTGAGAAAGCAAATCACAGTGGGGAGGAGGGGCAGGGCCTGGGGAGTGCGAAGCACAGACATAGTGGGAGGGGAAGTGGGATGTAAGGGCTTGTTTGGGGCATCTTCCACCTTAACGTCAACATCAATAATACAGAGCAAATCCCAGAGACGGCAATATCACCGTTCATGCTCCCCTGCCGCCCCCCAGGACTGGCCTGAGGCATAAACACGTCACTGCACTTGAAGGAGGACCCAGGCATTCAGAAGGTGGCCTGACCTATCTTCCCCCTCTGGGAAGGCAACTCATGGTTGGCCTCTCCGTTCTGCAGTCCCGGCAGGAAGCCTGGCCCCTGGCAATCATAAAGCCCATCCTGGGGCACGAGGAAGGGAGGTTCCCATGAGACTCATACTCAGCGAGGCTTTCAGTAATCTCATTTTCCAGGTCAGCAGCAAGAGACAGTGGGGTGCTCCAGGGCCACTGAATTCCTGACCACTCAGCTGGCCCAGAGTTACGTGCAATAAGGACATTGGTTCTGAATGCAGCTGTTGCCCATTTCATTGACTTCCCAACCCTCAGCCTGCAGGACCTGCTCCCCATCCACAGGGGAACAGGAGCGGCACTAGGGGTGGGGTAGGAAAAAGACTGCACAGGGGGGCCAGGAGCAGGTGTACACTGCGTTAAGGGTGCAAATGGAGCAAGTGGAAATGCCTGAGTCAAAGACATATCAGAAAGCCAGCTCTAGATTGGAACCAAGATGGCTCAAGCAGCCACAAGCAAGTGGAGGTCTCCCATGCAGTTGCACTGTGTTCTGGAACATAGAGAAACAGCCAGTGCAAATTGTATGTGCAGCAGATCCCAGAGACAGCAAAGATGGGATACAGTCCCTGCGCAGCTCTGATTTTCGAGGACATCTCTAGAACAGCCAAGCACGGTGTCAATATGGGAAAGCACTGACCATAAAGGGGGAACCAGTGGATTTCATGAAAGACAAATTCCTCCCAAGTTTTGAAGGAGTCCCGAGGCTGCAGCGCTCACTCAGCTGTCTGGAAAAGATATGGTACTTTTTATTCTTTGGATCGTGGACAGTAGAAGAAAATAATAAATAAGTTAATATGTGATGGGTGGGCATTATGAGGCTATGCAGCCTAGACTGTATCACCCCATCTGTGCCTCGGGCTCTGACCATCCTAGGTGGGCCATACTGGGTGATACAGCCCAGCTTGTGTTGGCGCATCAGTGCCTTACCTAGGTTGCACTGGTAATAGGAACTCTAGTCTTAAAGGGGAACCAGGTCTCTTCTTCCAGGGAATGACTAGCTCTGTAGCTTGTGTTTCTTTAGAAGGGATGTTTACAGGACCATGAGTATAGCATGATTGTTAGCAGGTGGCAAGGCCATCAGGCGGCTGCTGGCTCTGCAGTCCTTACAGAAGCTCCAGGCTGGATAGGTTACAAAATGAGAGTAAATTCACATAGGAAAGGGAAAAGGAGCCTCCATCACAGCCACTAGCTCCCAGCCCACGTGCCCTTTCATTCCTTGTGTGCCAGGATAAACATCAGAGGTGAGATGGTTTGGAATAACAATGGATAATTATAGGATGGAATAATATATATTTTGTGCTATTTCATGGTGTTCACAGGCTTTATTAGTAAATGGCTGAACAGATCATTGTCTCATCTCTTCTTTTGGGGGTGTGGGTTCATAAATGCTCCAGGTGGCCAGACCTCTGTGCTCCCTGCCTTCAGCCCTCGCCATTGTGCTCACACTAGCTGAGAGTCCTTCCCCTCTCCCTGCAGCAAGAGAGCCCCACATTGGTTTAATATCATGGGGGTTTAAGCCAATCTCAGGACTTAGGGGGCCTTGTTATGAATATTCG